CACCATGGAGCTAGTGGTGCTAGCTTCATTCACCATGGAGCTATCTCCACATCAGCCATATCTTTGTACATATCATTGATGACTCAGATGCCTTTTTCCTTGCTGTACTAGCCGTTCCTCCTTGCTGTCCCTAGACCACTATTCAGTTATAAAAGATTCATACATGATCCATAATTCAAGGAGCTGCCTAACAGCTATAAGTTCTAGATTATTCATTTGGCAATATGATGTATTATATATACTATCAGATCAATCAATATTAACAATGGCTTCAACATTATCTTCTTCACTTTGATATATAATTTTACTCAAAGGAATTATGCCCGAGCTGTTAAAACACCTGCATTGGAAAACTTCTGGATTCGAGGTAACCATAAAATTGTATCACTTCCAGTTATATTTAATGATGATGAACAAAGAACCATTTATCCCCATTGCGATGCATTAGTGGTGGGGGCAATAATTTTCCACAGTGGTCTTAATCGTATGCTCGTGGATAATGGGAGCTCCATGAATATTTTATTCAGAATCGTATTTGATCTTATGCAGGTTGACCATCCTTAGGAACCCATGGCCAAACTTTTATATGTATTTACCACAACGATGATAGAAAGTTGGGAACGAAAATTTGTGAACCCTCACTTAGTAAAGCGTATATGAAGCTGTAAAAGTTGAAGAATTGAAAAACTCTCCTGCCAACAAAAATAATACTGTGAATATCGATTTGCATCCAGGAGGCTTATTCCACTAATTGTGAAAATTTTGGAAAAAGCGAGCTCGTGTCCTCCAATGATGAAATCTCTATCTGCCAATTGAGAAAATTTTGGAAAAGGCGAGTCTCTTTTCGTCTACGAGGAAAACCTCATTCGATGGCGAGTCTCTGCTGCCAAGTTTGAAAATTTTGGAAGAGTTTAGTCTCTTTCCATCTATGAGAAAATATTATTTGATGGTGAGTCTATCGAAAATCCTGAAAAAGAAGTGTCCATTTTCACCTATGAGGAAATTACGTTGAGTCATGGTACTTTTACATCCTTGGTACACAATCTTGTACACATCCCTCTCACATGGGGGNGCCCCACCCCCATGTGAGAGGGATGCGTACAAGATTGTGTACCAAGGATGTACACTTATCATTAGTGAATTCTGTTTGATGGCAAGTTTGTATCCGCAAAATTAGAAATCACACGGAAAGTGAAATCCCTTCCGCATATAATAACCATAAAATTATAAAGTATGTTGCGATTTTGATTAGCCTCGATTTGTTTCACATTGTTTTAACTTGAAAATGATTTTTTTTACTTTTTTTTTTCAAAAAAGTGGGGTAGAGAGAGAGGTCAAACATTGTGGCTCACCAACTGTAGCAACAATAAAAATTCTACTTAAAATTGAAAACAAACACGGGCTAAATAAATTATAATAATCCAATGATAGCTGAAAAGTCAGAGCTTGTTTGGTAGAATTTAAAATTCAATTAAAATTGAAAATATAGCCATTATTGGATCTCACTCGTCCAATAAAAGTCAACAATTTCAGCTAATTTTTCAATTTTAATCCGATTTTATATGGGTAAAATGTCACTCCTCGTCAAAAGTGCTTTAGTTATCAATCGAGACTAAAAGTAAATAATAATAATAATAATAATAAGTCAACAAACGATTCTATGCAAACCAGCCAAAAAATTCCATTACAAAAGTAATAGAAGAGATGGAAAGATTACAAAGTAGACATGAAAAGGAAAAATACCTTTCCAAATTAACCAGTGGTTGGAGATTTTTAAAAGCTAAATCTTCCTAGTTAACCTGTGGCCTAGTAACTGAATTCACTGAAGTAGGAGAAGGAGAAACGATAATGAAAGTTCGAGGTGGCTCAATAACTAGGGCAATTTTAGTTGACAAAATAATAACAAAGGGATTTGTGAGTTGAGGAGGCTCGACTGGAAGTGATGGGGTATTTAGTAAAGACATCAGTTGATAACCCT